CGGTCGGCCCCGCCCCGCCAGAGCGCGCCAGCCAATCAGCGCTCGCAGACACGCCCTCCGGCCCCGGCGCGCACGACGGTCCAATGGGCGGTCGCTGTCTGTGACGTCACGCCCCACCTTATCCTCCCCTCCCCCCATGGCCTGTGGGCGTGGTGGGATGGGACTGGGGCGGAGCTACCACGAGAGGCAGCAGGCGTTAGCGCATCTCTGTTTGCGCCTGTTGCTACATCGCTACACTTCACCTAGATGACCTAATACTAGCCCTTCAGATGACCTAATACTAGCCCTTCAGATGACCTAATACTAGCCCTTCAGCGGCCTGCGTGTTTTGGGGGAGCGCTGCAGACTGAGTGAAAGTGTCTGGGGGAGAGGCAGAGTTCTCAGCAGGAGATGTAGGTATTGCAGGGAGCTGACCCAGTCAAGAAGCTTGGAGAGAGGTGAGAGGCAGAAGACTAAAACAGCCCATTCAAGTGCCAAGAAACAACCCTGAGACTCTCTGTGATGAGGTGATGAGTGCAGGCATAGACAGGGTGAGGTTTAGTGATTGTTTTCATTTAAGACATTCAGTTAAGGCCTGGTGGTCATCAAACTCCAAACTAGGTGTCAGGCTTGTTGGCAAGTGCCTTTACTTGCTGAGCTATCTCTCTTGTCCTGAAAATTAATTTGTAAGTTATAATACAAAGTAATGGTTCTGTGGCATATGTATGTGTTTATATGTGTGTATATGTATATGTATACATATATATATATATATATATATATATATATATATATGCTGTAGCATGAATCTTAAAAGGTCTTATTAATAAAAACAAACCAAGTGCCAGTTATTGGGGTGAATGCTGGAAGATCAAAGAAACAGAACCAGCCACAGCCACCTCAGCTCGCCAATTCCTCAGCTGATCTCGTTTCCGCAAACAGGAAGCCTCTGTGTCCTCATCCAAATGGATCTCAGCTGACCTGCTGCTAAAAGCCTGAAAGCTTAACCAGGCTCTAATTCCTGGTCCTCACATCTTATGTACCTTTCTGCTTTCTACCATCACTTCCTGGGATTAAAGGCATGAGTCACCATGCCTGGCAGTTTCCAGTGTGGCTTTGAACTCACAGAGATCCAGATGGATCTCTGCCTCCAGAATGCTAGGATTAAAGGTGTGTGTGCCACCATTTTCTGGCCTCTATGTCTATCTAGTGGCTGTTCTGTCCTCTGACCCCAGATAAGTTTATTAGGATGCACACTATATTGGGGAACACAATACCACCACTATATGCCATTCCACTTTGTTCAGAATTGTACCCCTCCCTCATTTGTCCATACCCCACCGCTGCCTTCTGGTTCCCTTCCTCTCTCCCACGTAGTTTTCATTTCATATCACATGTAAAAGGAATAGTTAAGCCCCATGTTAAAAGGTCTGAGTTTTACTGCTATTCTACTTTGTACAAAGAAGTCAAAAGGTGATTTTTGTCTCAAATTGTAATTACCCAGGTTTGCCATTCAGGCAGCTGATAGGTTCTCTGTAAATATTTGTCGAATTGACTAGAGATTTTAAGGTAGCTGGTCATTTCCTTCTTTGAATTAAAGATTAACACCTGCATTTTCTATCAAAAAATTGAAATAGTTATTCAAATGAAAACTTGTATCATTCTCAGAGGTGCCATTCATAATGACCAGAAGGTCGAAGCAACTCAAATGCTCATTAGCTGTTTGATGGATGGTAAAGTGTGGTACAGCAGCAGCTTGTTTGGGGGCAGAAGGATAGTAAAGTGTGGTACAGCAGCATCTTGTTTGGGGGCAGAAAAAGAACCAGTGTTGCTACACACTGCAGCACAGATGAACCCTGGGGCACCGGGCAAGGTTCGGATGATGTCAGGAATGTGTAGGTCCATATGGTTTGGTTACCTTTGCATTGCTGCATCCACAATACCATACCAGACACAAACAACTTAAGGGGCAAAGATTTTTTTTTTTTTTTTTTTTTGGCTCCCAGTGTCAGAGGTATTCAGTTCATGTTGGAGGCCTGGGGTGGAGGCTGTCCTCAGCATGATGGACCAAGAAGCAGAGAGCAAAAGAGGAATCAGGCAAGGGTAACTTATCTTCCAAGGACTCATCCATCTAGGTCCTCTCTTCTAAAGACCCCATAGTCTCCCCAGACAACACTATCAGCTGAGGAACAAGTGTTTAAACCATGACCTCACAGGGGCATTTCAATATTCCAGCTGTAACACTTGAAACAGAGAGGAGGTTAGGAATTTAATTGGAATTCCTTCTTTCCTACTAACTAGTGTATTCAATGATTTGTTATGGAGTATAGATTCATGGCATTTAGTTTATACTGTGAATGTAATATGCTGTACTACTTTTTATGGTTTTTTGAGACAGGGTTTCTCTTTGTAGCCCTGGCTGTCTTTAGACCAAACTGGCCTCAAACTCAGAGATCCACCTGCATCTGCCTCTGGAGTGCTAGAATTAAAGGAGTGTACCACTGCTGGCTTATATTACTCATTTTGTTGCTCAAGTCAATGCAGCTTTAGACACAGGAGCTTTTTCATCAGCTCCTGTGTTGCTTTGAGATACATAATGATAGGCTCCCATACTTTCTGGAACTAAAGATGGTTATTACTCCTGGCAGCTCTTGTATATTTCCTGGACTGGTCTTGGCATCAGCCATTTCTTCAAAGAGACTTGATTCCTATTACTGATGATTGGCTTTAGAGACCAGAAGCTGTGGGAAGATGATAACTTTGTAAATATGACATAAAAGGCACAAGCAAGTCATACGTCATCAAATTCACACTTCATCAAATTTAAAAAAAAACTATGAAGAAAGCTAAAGACAACCCATAGAATAGAAGAAAATATTTGAAAATCTTATCTTTAATGGGATTAGTATTTAGAATACAGTATATTCAATTTAAAACACCTAACTAAAACTAACTAGAGAATTTCAGTAATCATTTCCCCACAGGTTTACAAATGGATAAAATCATATGAAAAGGTGTTCAGTAGCATTCACTGTAAGAAAAAAGAAAATGAAAGCTACGTGTGACAGCCTAGCACACTTTCTAGGATAACTGGCATTTCTATTTTTCCCATTTTCATGTGTGTGTGGTGTGCATGTTTACATGTGTTTGAGGACACATGTATGGATGTGTGTGTACCTGTGTGCAAGTACATGTGGAGGTCAGAGGTTGATGTCAGGAATTATTCTCAATTCCTCTCCCACCTTATTTATTGAAGTAGGGTATCTCAATCAAACCCAGAGCTTGCCGATATTGCTAGTCTCCCTAGCCAGCTTGGTTAGGGGATCCCTGGAATGACTATCATTTTTAAAGGAAAGTAAAACACATATTAGTGAGGATGTGAAGAGATTTGGACCAGCATGAATCATTGGTGGAGATATAAAGTGGTGTGAGCACTGGGGAAAAGAGCAGTATAATTCCTCAAAAAATTAAACTCCAGAGGTTCTATATGACCTTCTGCTTCATGTAGACAATTTAGATTTAGAAATTCGGTAGAGTCCGAGAAAAGGATTCAGAAATGAAGATGTATGTAACTGTGAGACATGTATAAGTAGATTTGAAACAAACACTCAAATAAAAACTATAGACAAATGACAGTGGCATTATTAATAATAGCCCAGACTTGGAATTCACCTAATGCTCATCAACTGATGGCTGCAAGAACTTTTAAGAACTTTAAAATGTTTTTGTTTCTCTCTCTGTGTCTCTGTCTCCCTCTGT